AATTGATCCTACCAACTTATGCAGGATGGTGACCTAGTCTGAAAATGCTGACTTAATAATGGAAAGCTGCTTGATTAGGCAGGACTGACAGAAAATTAATTTCCCTGCAGTACAGGTAGCTGAAACCAGAGTGGGATGAATATGCACAGGGTACCGACAAGATGTATGTAATCGTGAAGAAGGAATGGCAAGGAAACAAAGCTAAGAGGAAATCAGGACAGTAGGAGTGGGCTACATGTTACTTAGGCTTCAATCTGAAGACCTTTCATACACCATCAACAGAAATATAATAAAAGTTAGGCCCAACAGAAGTGAACGTTATCAACCAATTTAAAGAGAAAAATAGAGCTGAACTTAAAAGCACTCTGACAAAAAATCTTTGGGAATGTAGACTAACACAAACTGTGGTATTACTAAAACAGTATTAATATCTAAACATAATTATAAGCTGCACTCACATAAATCCATTTTCTCTCTCACATTTTTCCATGGTATTCTTTACAAGATTTCCAAGCTTTCTAAAGAATAAGTGTCCTGAAGGTTTGACTGTTGGTCCAGGTCCTTTGGTTTCTCCATATTCTTTGCATAACGCTTCGGCATTTGCATAAACTGCATGTGAGAGCAATATAAAGTCATTTGACTGTAATTAATTATCGACTACTTGGCTTTAAATTAGATCTGGTAGGAAATGTTACTGCTCTTTACCTAGAATAACAGCAATACCAAGAATAGTAGAAGGGGAAGATGCGTATTTTCTACAGGTTCTGGGTATTTTCTACAGGCTCCAGGTTTTTGAAACATTTTTGTTTTTCTCCAATTACCTCACTGATTTCCATTCTCTTTCATGAACTCAGCCAAAATCCCTTTTAACTGCTTATTTCCTCTTTCTGATAAAACATTTGTTTTTAAAAAAGGAGCTAATATCCTGGCAGGAATACTTACATTTTTCAGCTTCTTGGAGAGACCGAATTGCTTCACCACATTTATCACTAGCCAACAAAGTCTGACCATGATAACAGTAAGCCTGGTAATAGAAACAAATTTTATTCAGTCTTCCCCCAAATGATGCTTTCCACTATCGCTGTTTTACATATACATCATAAATGCCTTTACCCACTGTCTGAAGTATCAGTGCAATCTCTGACACTTTACTGGAATATGCTTTCCCCCATCTCTGTTACTATAAAAAGTGAAATTATGTCAAGCCTTGAGCCAGGCTAGCCTTCTAACCGTGGGCTGAGAACAAAACATATTTGCTGAAACCTGTTTTTAAAATAAGGGCACAGTGGTAAGAGGAGGGAAATTACTGTGCTAATGCAGGGGGAGAGGGAGGGAGGATTTTGAGGTTAAGGACTGAACAGGTTTTAAGAGAAATGTATCAGCCTGAAGTAGGACTAGGCAGGACCTATACAATTATTAGTAGGACTCTATTAGTGTCCTACTACTATTTTAGTAGGACTAATATATCTTTAAATGTCTACATTAGTACAGGGCAAAAAAAACTATGTACCCAGATCTGAAAAAGGCTTCTTAGTTATCCCTCACAATATTCTAACCAAAACAAGTTTGTTTGGTGGTTTTACAAGACTGATTAAATAGACCGCTTATAAAAGATTCTTCAAAACCCAGGTGATATATTGTGTGAATGACTTAAGATTAGAATTAATAAATACCTTCTCCTCAATGTGTACGATGAAACAGGAGAATTCTCATTAAGAGAATTCTGCATGCAGAAGATTAAGCCTAAAAGTAGGTTAAATCAAATAGTAATTCCACTGCTATAATCCAGTTCTATAATTTTCTAGTATCTCTTTCCACCCACTTCAGTTCACAATGGCTGCACTGACCATCAGTGACTCCATTACTTGTAAAATGCTAATTAAGAGTCTAGAGAGATGACAGCCCTGGCACTCAGGGGACTGGAAAGACAGTAAATTTATATTGCCTTGAGAGCTATGAATACTTACATAAGCTGTGTAGAAACACATTTTCAAGTGAAGATATTTTCTCCATTTAGCAGAGTATGCAGGCTCCAAACTGGATAAAGTATGATCTAAAGTTACATTTTAAAAAGCAAAATATAATTTCACCCTGATTCACTAGAAGGCTTTTAGTTCATGTGTTCAGATGCTAAAAACAGAATGCTATTCAGGTATAAAACTTGAGCATTTACATACTTTTAAAAGACCTTCCTTTAAAGTGATTTAGTTTCCCGTAACTATATTCCAACTACATAAGATTAGTTAAACAGCATCTCTCTGGTTTGATAGTTAATGTAACCTTAGTTTAATGATAAACTAAGAACTTCAAGGTAAATACAAATTGTACTATTACACCTTTTAAACATTTATGCAATATAGCAATGCAAAGAGTAGTCTAGCCACCCAAGTCAGAAATCCGTAGGATACCCTCCTCTCACCACCCTATCATCAAATCTTGTATAAAACACACACTCACGTATCTGCCAAACATCTCTCAATCTGTTTCTACTTCTCCATTTCCTACTTCGCTGTCTTTGTCAACGTTTTTATGGTTTCCTCCATAATCATTTTTTCCTAAGTGTTAAGTAAAGTTGGCCTAATGTTCCTTCACCTAGCAAACATATTTCTCATCTAGCAACCACAGGGACCTTTAGGAAATTGAAATCCAATCAAGTCAGATTTACTTTACATCTTTTAATGGGACCCAAATATCTTCCAAATAAGGTCAAATTCCTCAGGCAGGCCTACAGACCAGTCTATGGTATCACACATGCATACTACCCTAACCTCTTCTCCTTTCTCTCATCCTGTTTCAGCTAAGGGTATCTTTCTAAAGGTTCCAGAATGTGTCTGGTTTTCTCTTATCTCTGTACATACTAGAGAGATAATGTTTCACTCCCATTTGCTAAAGCTTCCTAACAAACTTTCAGAACTTCTATATTTCAAAATAAGGCTAAAACACCATCTTCCTCCAGAAAGCCTTTTCTAGCACACCCAGATCCTTCAGAATTTTATTCCACCACTGTAGCATCTTAATTCATGCTATAATAATGTGGTTGTACATTTGTCCCCTTCCCTAGACTGTGACTCTGATCTATTGATCTTTGTATACTCAACAAAATTGCAATCATCCCATAAACAGGAACATGCATGTTTCCTAAATAAGTAAATAAATTGAATAGGCTAATGAAACACCCGAATTCTAGCCCCAGTTTCCCACCTACTAGCAGTTAATCCTTTGGAGTTTGCTTTCCTGTTTAAATAAGGATACTAACCATAAAGTTATATAAAGACCAAAACAATTTCAAAAATAAGAGAGCTATATTACTAGATATAACTGCTTAAAAAACATAGGATTACCCTTTCCATTAGAGGTTATGTAGTATGTAACTGTGAACAGCTCTTTTATTTTCTTTTAAACAAGATTAATAATGCAAATATTATTTCAGTTTTGCAAATGAAATCATCTCAGAATCTTTTTGTTTTGCTTGCTCCCTCTTAAACCAAGAGTTAATCTGCAAACCTAAAGACTAAAAATATGACAGAATTATAAACTTACCTGCTTTTTGATAGAAATTGGCTGTTTCATATGCCAGTGCAGCAATTAGCCCAGGAGCGTGTTTCAGTTCAATTGCTCGAGCAATTGTTACTATAACCAAAACACAGTAAAGTGAATGTATAAATAAGTTCACTTGTATTCACCCTAAGTTCAATTGTAATTGCAAAAGATGGTACAACAATTTGGGATTTTAATATAGTTTGTTAAAAGTTTTAACATGAAAAGGTAGAGAAAATGCAAAAATAAAGATAAAACATTGAGCTTATTGGTTCTGATACCATTTTTCTTTTTAAAAAAACACAAGCTAGTTACTAGCTAATCACAGAGAATTACTACTATAAAATAGCATGACCTAAGAGAAAACAAGTACTTTCAGGGTACTGGAATTTGAAATAAAAAGTAACAAAAGCCTATGAAGTTTCATTAATGATTTCACCTGAGTCTTCATCTACTTTCTGCCAATGAAAGGTGAAGGTTTCAAGGTAAGTCAAATTGTGAAAGAGGAAAAGGAATCAGTTACAAAATTCTATGCCTTGAGAAATTGCATGAAATCAAAATGCTCTTAAAAAGAGCCATTAAACTATAAAGCCTTTTCCTGCTAACTAAAAATGAAGGAAAATACTACAGGAAAAATTACTCCTCACTATAAATTTCCCAGAACCTAATTCTAGCTAATTCTGATTTGAAGAATAAAAGAATAATGTGTCAATATATTCCTTCAAAAGAAAGCAATCTTACAATATTTAGGATACCTTCTTGAGCTTCAGCCTGACACTGGATAATATAAGCTTCTATGAGTCGTGCCTCTAAATCTCTTCCCTTTTCTGCAGGTGTAATAAGCTTTGGGATATGACTTTCCTAAGAAAGAAAGAAAAACAAAACAAAAAAAAGAAGCCAAATTTTATTGTAACCCCGTTGTTAAAGAGATAAAGAAAATGGAAGTTACGACACATTCAATTTGGGGACTTATCAGAAATTTAGGGTACAAAGAGAAACTGTGTAAAAAGCAGTTTTGAGCTTATAGAGAAGAAAAACTCCTGTATACTAAAATTCAGGAACAAAATCTGGGTGTTAACAGTTTGCTTAGACAGGGAAGTCATGTTTGTCTTAGAAAATATTTAGCTGAAACAGTGGCCAAGGTTCCCTTCTGTGGGGCAGCCAGAACTGCTCATTCACATTAATAAGTGTAGACAAAGAAGGCTATAATTTTATAGCTAACTCAGGGTCACAGCTTTTTAATCACTGTAAAAGCATCTTATTTTATCATGAGAAAACCCAACACTGGCCTTCAGTGAATGGTGGCTTAATGAGAATGAGGTGGGGTAATTCTGGGTGGAAAATACATTAGTCTTTTCCCTAATTCCCATCACATCTTCAGGGAATTTGATGTAATTAGTGCGTACTGATAGCCCCACCAGCATTTTCACTGGCACAGAGAATGCATTCAGAAGTTCAGTTCCACAGGATCATGATTGCTTCTGGCAACTGCTGTGGGAACTGTTAACAACCATTGAATTTTTGTACTTTGTTTTCTCCTATCTTTTCAGAAAAGACAGAAAAAGCAGTGAATTATAACTCTGACTTTTCTAATTGTAAAATTAACTGCTGATTTTCTAAAATGGAGACATTTAATATTCTGTAACTGGCTGCACTCACTGACAAGATACTTAACATAAGGAAAACACAACACATATCAGTTCTTTCTACACAATGAAATAATTCTCTACCCCCATTTTCCAAAGAAATAAATAAAAATTACTTGAGAATTAATGCATTAAGAATACATTTTACTATTATTATTGTTTTACCTTTAAATGTTTAAAAATCCCAGCTGCAATTTTTAGGCTGCGATGGACTTCTTTTGCTTCCTCTTCTGTTATGCTTAAAGATAGTGGTTACATTAGAGGATGAATTCCATTTCTTGTATTAGAACTAACAACTGATACATTACTGTAACATCAAATGAGCCATTTTTGTGTTTCTCACTGCTAGTTTTCTTCCTTTAAAAAAAATCTAACTCAACACTTAAAAAAGTGTAACAAATACATATGAAAAATATCCAAAGAGAAGATACTACAAATGAAAAAAAGTGAGAACCTATTTAGAAGTCTGGACAAAGGCTTCTTGTTTTTATGCCCATCTGTGCATAAACAAGCACAAAATATATACACCTAATACATGCACACAGTAAAAAAAACAAACACACACAATATTCACTAGATTGCTTATTTTAAACACCTGAATTACCTTAGAGATAATTTCACATCAGCATATACAGTTCAACTTCATTTTAAATTGCTGCCTACTACGTTCATGTTCAGGTGCACCATAGTAGGTAGGTAGCTGCCAGTTTTGTACTAATATCCTCTTTTACTATTATAAGAATCGTATCTCATTTTATTTCATAATTCTTTAATTCTTCAAAACATTGGTCACATACTTATATGCCTTTGTATTTCTATTTTCTGTGAATTGCCTGGTTATGTCATTTGCTTATTTTCAGTTGATCTCTTGGCCTTTTCTGTGTTTACTTGTAGGAGTATACATTATAAAAACAATTCGTCATCTGAATTGCAATTTTTTTGACCAATCTGTCATTTGTTCTTAACCTTCTTTATGGTACTTTGATGCAGTCAACTATTCAATTAGTCTTTTTCATGGTTTGGGGTTTTATTTAGAAAGACTTTCCCTATGAAAACATTAGTTTTTCCCCTTCTAATACTGGCTTCATAATCTGGTACTTAAAATACTAACATTATGAGGCAACCTTTCACTTATCAGAAGCCTAGACGTTTTCATACATATTTAAAAAATAACATATGCAGATAGCCCTTCCCTTTTAACTTACTTTTCTTTTCCAGCCAGTCTTGAAGCATATTTGGTGTACCACAAGGCTACATTAAATCCCATGGAAATTAACTCAAAAACAGCATCCTGCTGGGCACTAGAATTATAAACATGATCATTAAGTTCTACTTTATATCTTGTTTCCTTTAGATTCTATTACTACAGATGACTCAAAGATGATGACAAAGGCTTATTAATCAAATATTACTAATTTTTATTCACTATTCTGCTAAGAACCTGAAAATTCTTTGGACATTATCTCACCTCAAATGATGGAGAAAACAGAATACTCTATTTTATACACATATTACCAAGATACAGAAAAATTACCCAAAGGGAAGAAACTAGAATCATGATTCTGCTTTTTATTCTTTATTTATTGTCTCCATCTTAAAAAGAATGTAGAAATGGAAACTTTTTAGAGTAAAAAAAAATTTTTTATACAACATATAAAAAAACTTATAAACTATCCCACTGAACATATTATGTATTAATATGCAAAAACATAAGAGTCATAAATAAACTTCTGAAAACAACTTTCCTGGCTGAAAAATATTTAATGTATAGTTTAATAGCTTACTCTTTTCAACACTGAGGACTTTCAAATGAATTACATCTGGTGATCTTGTAGGCATATCTGATTTATAACTTTAAAAAGATAGTTTATAGTAAGTCCCATGAATAACTCTCTCCCTTTTTATCCTTCATTTATTTCAATCTGCCTTGCTGCTAAACAGTCCATTTCTATTGTACCACATCTAAGTAATAGGGAGTACATACAGTTGAACTTCTCAGTGTACTTTCTATTGAATAAGTAGTACTCAAGGATAAAATAATTTAATCTCAGATATACTGAACACTCAGTATTATTACTTAAGGCCTTCATTTCATAATTCTTCACTGTCTCATAAAACTATACTCAAAAAGGCTGTGACAAGGAATCAAAATCTGTCATGGTGGAAAGGTGCCAAATTTATGTAATCCGAAACACCTGACAGAGATTTGATTCTTTAAGAAAAAGTCGTTATTAACAGAAATATTCCTTAATTTTAGGTTAAGTACAAAGGGATCATATACAGAAAAACAGATAATGAGAACTTGGAAAACCTTAGTATCCCAGAATATTAAAATTTGGAAAGGATTCCATAGTCCTCAACTTCCTACCCAATATGAATTCTACATACAGTATTATTGATTTTGTATGCCTGGCATTATATTAGTCACTTAACATAAATTTTCCTATTTTGTTTCTCACCAAAGCCCGGTTATCTGTAACCCCAACACTCAAAGAAATGGATGTTCACACAGTACAAGACCTGAAATTGCATCTAGAAGGAGTCCATAGTCCATACTCCTTCCACTCTATTACCTGCCCTGGCCTTTGAGCAATCTCCATTTCATTTTCTTCCCTTCTGATTTTATAAAACAGTAATATTCTAAAGCAAATTGAGATAAAGACATATGATCATTTTTACAACCCAAAGGTGGAAAAAAGATAAAGATTAGGTACCATTTTGATCTGTATCCTTTTCCTGTTATAATTAGGTTTGTCCTAACTGGTTTCAAGTGAGTTACGATAAAGTTCTGAAGGGAAGTCTTTAAAAAAAAAATCAGGAACTGTGGATAGGAATTAGGAAGAAAACAAATACTGTGAGTCAAACGAGTGTGGAGTATGGAACTGGGTAAAAGGAAAGAGTGGGCCTGGCCAAAGACACCTGGACTGTCCATTAGAAAAGACAAGTGTGAGAAAACCAAAATTCTGCTCTCTTTGAATGCAGGCAAAGACTGAAAGCCAGATGTGGGCTCCAAATCTCCAAACCATTCTTTGTGTTATTAAAAGCCAAGGATATTCAATTCTAGTTAACAGTTGTATTGCTTATCTCAAAACAGATTTGGTCCAGGAGAAACAAAAGTATATTTTTACTTACTAGAATGTCTTAGGAGTTTAGGTCCAATATTTTAATTTCCTGATTAAGAAAAAATGCTGATCTGACCTATATGTTATTTCTCCAAATACAGAGGCTGTGAGTTAACTATGGTACTGTTAGCATTGTTTACCTAGGAACATGTCCTTGTAATGTATCAGTCCACTTGAAATTCTGAATATATCGTAACTTGCTTTCTTGGGTGGATTCATCCAATGAATTTATGAAACCTATAGAAAGATAAAAAACATTTCAGTCTTTTTATGTTAGGTGACATACAGTATTTTATTGGTTTCAGGTGTACAGCATATTGATTCAACAATTATATACATTATGAAATACTCACAAGGGTAAGTGTAGTTATTTTCTGTTACAATACAAAGATACTATAATATCACTGACTGTATTCCCTATGCTGTACTTTTCATCCCTGTGACTAATTTATTTTATTAATTGGAAGTTTGTACCTCTCTATTCCCCCCTTCACCTATTTCACCTGCTGTCTCGCCCCACCTCCCCCCATGGCAACCACCAGTTTTGTTCTCTGTATTTGAGTTTATTATGTTTTGTTTGTTGGTTCTTTTATTTTCTTAGATTCCACACATTTAACTGAAATCATATGGTATTTGTCTTTCTCCACCTGGCTGATTTCACTTAGCATAATACCCTCTAGGTCCACCCATGCTGTTGCAAATGGCAAGTTTTCATTCTTTTTTAAAACGTTTCTGTTTTAAAAGAAATATAAAATGTTGTGTTTAGAAAATATTTCAGATAATGACTTTTCCAGGTATCTGAAAGAAACTCCTAGCCCCTCTCTCCTTTTCCATCTCTTACACTTTCTCCTAAGGTAACATAATGTGAAATACGCACACACTGTATTTTCAAAATGTTAGAAAGACTACATACCACACCTATATTTTCACATTTCTGAAACTCAAGCATATCAAAGAATATAGCCTAGAAGACTAAACTTTGAAAAGTCTAAGAAATAAATGTGAACTTCTGCATAGTTCTTTAAAAATTCTGAAGTTCATATAAATAACTAACCTTGTAAGAGTGAAAAATATGAATCTGCTGCTTTCATCATCATTTCTGGATTACAACTCAAATCAGTGAACAGTTCAAGCAGTTGTGCTCTGCATGATCTCAAGTCACTTGCATGAGAAAGAAAGAGACAGTTAAGGCCAAGCAGGTGGTACTACAATGGATCTGTGTAAAAGTGGATTAGAAGTTTTAATTGTAAAAGCTTTAAACATCCCCCCTGCCCCCACTCTAAGGTATTACTAAGTACACAGGAATGAATGCCATTAGAACTAACACCAGAGGAAGTGAAATTTCTAGTAACAATTGTTTACAAGTTGTACTAAAATAAACTCAGTCCACTTAAAAGGACAAATCATGAATTCAATTATGTAATAAAAATATACAGCAAGTTTTAATTTAAAATATCAAACACAGCATTTACGATGGGAGGAAAGAATTAAGAATGAGTAAATTAAACAGGTTAGTTCACAATAAAAGCTTTTTGAATGGGAATTTAACATGTTCGTGCGTGATTTTAGTACCTCTTTAAAATTTCAAAATTTGACATATCAAAATATACCCTATTAAGTAGAAAACTGTATTTTAAAAATGAAATTGTATTGTGTAATTCAACATACACGTGAAGAATTTGTAAAACCCCATGGCCACTGGTCATTTTAAAACTGCTCCCTCATCTCTATTCTCCTTTCAATTCTCTGCAGCAATGTTTCAGATCCACCATTTCTCCGGATTCCAGTGACACTAAATTTTCCAGAGTCTCCTCTTATCTCTGAAAGTTCCTTCTGTATTTTTCCTGTCCCCTTCCTATTCCCACCTCCAAAAATGTTCAATCTCTGCCTTTCCACTTTTCTCTCTTGAATCTCACCTATTTGTACAGCTTTACATCCACTCCTGCATCTACCATCAGCTCTAACTTGGTCCTGTTCCAGTTCCACATCTAACTTCAGAAGGCAACTTGCTTAAAGAGGGTTCACAAATGATATTACATGAACAATGAAGACACTTGTGTGAAATGACTAAAAAAAAAGACTACATTTAAATCCTAAGCATCAGGAGAGCAGGGACTGTATACCCAGAACTCAGGAGGTGCCCACAGCAAAGCAAGCACTCAAAATTGTCCGAGTGAAAGAATGCCAACATTTCAAACATTTTAAGATTTAAAAGGGCTGCAATGTAGCAGTCTTGATTGGTCTAGATGGGAGGGTTTAGTCACTGGTACTTGCTCTAGAGGCTTATTCCAAGAAGGTGTATACCAACAATTATATACACTGGCCAAAAATGGGGTGGACTATCTTACGAATCTGTCACTGTTACTTAACTAGAAGGTGGGAAGTAGTAGTTCCTGGATTAGGAAAATATTTGAATTCTTAAATAAGGGCTGTTCTAGACTCAAACAGTTGGCTAGCTATTTCCAGGTAGGCACTCAATCATCACGTTCAATCCGACTTGTGTAAAGTGACATTCACCTTAAAATTACAGAACTTGAGAAACATGTACCTCAGAAATATCAATGTAGGCCACTCTTTTTGTAGATGAGTACTGAGGCCCAAAGAAGTTGAGACATTTGCCTAATGGTGCACATAAAACAGTTAACTGGGACCAGCCTCTAGGAGCCTAAGACCAGGGTTTGGCAAAATACACCCTGTAATTTGTTTTTGTATGGCCCACAGATTCTTTCTGTGAAAACGAACAAGGAATGTGCAACAGTGACTTTATGTACAAGTCACTGTAAAGGGACTAATATTACTAAAAGATTTGGCCCTTTATGGAATTAGTTTGCTGACCCCTGGTCTACATGCGAAGCCAGTTTTCCTATCTTTTGCTCCAATTACTTCTTTCCACAAAAAGCAGCAACTCTGGCTGGTTTTCCTTTACTGGTAGCATCAATGTCTTGATCATCTAAGTTTTGAATTCCTTATAGATTGAATTGTTTTCAACTTCCCACAGCAAATCAGCCAATCTAGCCAGTTGAGTCTTCCTTTGAAATATCTCTTGCATCTACTTTTTTGTTCTAGTCAAACGGATCTACTCACTAGCCCTAGAATAAAGGTTTTCCTGTCAGAAATGACTTTCTCTTCTCCCTTCCTAATATCCCAATCAGGGACCAGCACACTTTTTCTGTAAAGGGCCTGAAGGTATTTCCAGCTTTGTGGGTCATTAAGTTTCTGTTGGGACTACTAAACCTGCTACTGTAGAGGACAGCAGCCAAAGACAGCCAGAGACAGGATGTAAATAAGCGGGGGGAGGGGGTGGCTGTGTTCCAATAAAACCTGATTTATAAAAATAAGCACTGGATCTATTTATGGGATGTAGTTTGGCAATCCCTGATCTGAGCCATATAATTTATTGAAACCCTAGTCAAGTCCTTTCTCCTACATGAACATACTGAAGGCTATCCCAGGTGATAGGAATCTCTCTCCCTGTTCAGAAGTCAATGAATTTACTATGTAGCCAATTAACAATATCCATATACAACTTGAGTCTTTTGTAACAAATAGCTTAACTCTTTTATTGCGATTTCTTCAGTGTCTCTGGGACTCACTAGGAACCCTGACCTAAATGACTGCCAAAGTTTAAAAAAAATCTATGATTTAATTCTTCATGTCATTTGTAAGGTTTTAAGTAGTCTAAGGTTAGGAACTGTGTGCTACATACTTCTGAATGGCCCATGGGACCTAAAACAAATTGAATCCAAGGGTGGCTCAATACTTAGTGAGACAGACTAAAACTTACCTGCAAATTTTTGAAGCAGCAGGGCCAGTGGCTACACCATAATAGTTAAAAGGGACAGGAGCTGTGGCTTTTAATGGGTTCCTATGAAACCAATGCGTCATTTTTTCCAGATGTTGCCTATAGACAAAAGAAATGTATAAAAAAATAAAGATAAAACATTTGATAAACAATGTAATAGTATTCAAATCTTTAAGAATATAAGATTACTACAGGATATACACATTTTCACATAAAAATACATAGACCATGCATATATATATATATACATATACAATGCTTCATTGCCATAAGTCAATCTTGTTTTCTCTATTTATAGTAGTCTATGTTTAGATCAGGCCTATAGAGAAACTGCATTTGGAAACTTTCCCAGAGTAACTGCGATGTTAAATATACCAAAGCAGTAATGTTTAAACTTTAATGTTCATAAAAATCACCTGGGGGGAGGGAGTCTTGTTAAAATGCAGATTCTAATTCAACACTATGGAGCAGGACCTGACACATGATGCTGCTGGTCCCCAGACTGCACTTTTTAGTAGTATAGTACAGGACTTCAGTTGGACGGCTCCAATTGAGAAGGGCACAGAACTAGATGAAAGTAACTTCCAAAACAGGTTCAAATGGTGACCCTTATTTAGACCTCTAAGGTTACTTGAAATAAGTATGTTTTAAGTTAGCTATTTCCCACATGATATTGCTGACACTGTCTGACTGGTTATATAGCATGTGTTCCATAGAATGAGCATTTTCATGATTAAAAAAAACCTCAGTAACTTCTACCTGAAAAACCAAAATGTTTGAAAAATGACTTAAGTGAAAGGCCAACTTAAAAAAAATTAAGTTCCACACCTTTTAGGTTAAACAAAACAAAAAACAGGAGTATTTCACTTGCCTAGAGTCCTTGGGTAGAAAGTGCACCTAATACAGGAAGGCCTAACTAAAGACTTAAATAGGGCAATTAGATTCCAGGAAGTAATAGACAAGATATTATAAGGTTTAATTAATCTGAAGGCATTATCCATGCGTCCATCGACTTTTCTTGCTGGGGGAAAAACAAAACAAAACATGGACTGAATGGTGAGTGATACACCTACTTCAAGCACCTCCCTTAACGGTATTTACTTACTTCTGTTAAAACCGGTTTTGGAGAGCACAAATATTTGATGAAGAGAAAATGCATTGTGTACTAAATGAAAAACTGAGCAAATTCATTTATGACTGAAAATATTTACCAAGTCCTTTAGAAATACACATAACCTTGTAAACATCATCCATGTAAACCTCCGTTATAACCCAAGTAAACTAGCACGTGCATATAAGTTAAACCTTCCAGAGAGAAAAGCACACAGTACACTTCATCTTGTGATAGCAACTTTTCTACAGTACTTTCTTAAGGCGGCCTCCCACTTCCGGACGAAAACGCCTTAAGTTCTGCACATGATTACTTCAGCAACGAGAGGGGCAGAACCGTACCCGGCCCCATCTTTCCGCTTCTGAGCCCCGGCCCTCCAGTCCTCAGGAACGCGGAGGGTAGGGCAGGACGCAGCCACCCGCGGGCGCGAGGGTGCCTTTAGGGCCACGGGTACAACAGTCGGATCGGCCACCTAACTGCCCCCACTGGGGTCTCGGATTACTGTCAAGGGTCCCCCACTCCCGAGACCCCGGCCCCCGGAACCTACCCGAGCGCCGCGCCGAGCTCCGAGCGCCCACTTCCTGTTTACCACCCAGCCTCTTCCTCCCGGCCCCGTCCTGTTTTCACGCGGCGGGCGGCGACCTGGCGCAGGCGCCAACCTTTGCGTGCCCCGCTTTCTTGAACAGGCATTTGTGTGGAGAGCCGATAGCATCCTTCAGGGAGAGGCGGGCAGACGACCGCTGAACAAACCCGTTTCGCTTAGAAGGCCCCCAGCTGCTAGGGGGGACGCGGGTATGGGGATTCGGCGGAATGTAGCTGCTGGTACCACTGATTCGCAGGGCCAATTTTCTTTCTTTCGTTTGTTTCACGGCATTAGAAGACTTTTTCGGACCGCTATCCGAGTCTAAGGAGACTGTGTACAAGGGGGCGACCTATTGTTTGGGACTCCTGGGAAACAAGGGTAGGGAGACGCCCATTCTCATGACATACTTACAGGATTTCTGGGCGTCTGTACAGCAGATCTCCTGAGGAGAGAAAGGCAATGTCCGAATCCGCGAAAGACCGAGGGCAAGAGTCTGGAGAACCAGAGCTGCCGAATTAGAGCGACGGGAAACTAGGCCTGCGACGAGCCGGAGTCACCTGACCCGGGCGGCCATGACAGCTACCGAGGCGGCAGCGCGCCCGGTTTAGGGGCGGAGGCTGCTTCGTAGTTGCAGCCCTCTTGGGACACTCCACTCCTCAGCCCTCTCCTGATTATTCCTCCCGAGTCTTTTCTCTTGAGCTGCAGTCTTCCCTTCAGTGCGGAAGAACAGAGGTGGCCAAGTCTCCCCAGCCCAGGAAGAATGCCGCAATAGCACTGGCGGCCGCTCGGTGGAGCGGGGCGGCCTCAACCTAACCCGGGGCGGAGCCTCGGGGGCGGGGCCTCGGCGGGGCGGTCGCTCCGGAGCCGCAAAGTTTGGCTGTGGCGGCAAATGGGCTTGGGCGGCTCCTCGGCGGGTGGCGGTGGTGGCCGCAGCGGTTCCTCCTGGCTCTGTTAATGTCGGGGCCAGGCCCGGGGAGGATGGCGCCCTAGAGCCCGGCCCTGCTGGGGTAGGGGCGGGAGGGGACGGTGGTGGGCACCGGCCATGTCGGAGGTGACCCGGAGTCTGCTGCAGCGCTGGGGCGCCAGTTTTAGGAGAGGAGCCGACTTCGACTCTTGGGGCCAGCTGGTGGAGGCGATAGACGAGTATCAGATGTGAGTGACTAACCGCGGGCCCGACCGGCTTCAGTCGGCCGCCTCCCCCGTTACTGTCGGTGCCTCTCATCTCTGCATCTGCGGCCAAGGCTGCTCAGGGTGGGGCCCCGCCGGCTCTGGGCTCAGAGCGCCCTGGCCCCGGAGAGGCTGCCCTGGAGACAGCGGTCCGCTCTCTGGGTTTCTCGCCCATCTTCCCCCTCCGCCTCCAAGAGCCAGTTCCATTCAACAGGTAGCCCTCCTTTCCTGGGGCTCCGGGCCTCTCCGGCTGTGTACTTAGTTTCTTCCACCGCCTCACGGGTCCCCTGCTCTGCAGTCAGTTTCCTTTCCTCCTTTTCCGCCGCCTCTCAGGTTGCTGCCCCTCGATTTCCCTTTGAGATTCTCTGAGGAGTACTCGTGTGCTCTCCACCCACGTTCCAGGGATGAGTGGCCTTGCTCGGTATATGGTGCCTGCTTTCTCCCGTGTGTAGGACAGGAGGGACCTGGTGGCGATCGAGGGGAGGGGGTGCCCCCAGGAAGCAGAGACACTGGAGGTGCCTCACCCGCCAAAGCAGGGTCCCTCCTCGCGCCCCTTCACCCCTCTTTCCGGGGAGCCGTGTTTTGACAATTCGCCTCGATTCCGTTTCGGTTTCTGAGACTGTTATTTGTTAGCCTGTGTGAGTCCCACCCACCCCCTTGCTCGGTTGCTTTGGGTGGAGTCCTCGCAGGATGTGAACAGAAGAGAGCAAAATGTGAATTCATAGACTACGCACAGGAGCCACCCCTCCCTCCTTAGGTCCCTCCTCCTTTTCCTGTTATAATGTATAGCCGCTGGGTACATGTGAGTACCAGTGTCTTTGATCTTTGATCGGAAGTACGATTTCTTTCCCTTAATGGTTCCCCCCCAAAGCTTGAGGGATGTTTTTAAAATGAAAAGATTTACGTATATGTAAAACCTTAGTTTCTTGCACATTTTACTGAAAATAAGAACTGCACTCTAAAATGCTATTGTTTGCAAACTGTTGCTGTTAATAACTCCTTGGTTTAAAACAAGTTGTTTGAGGTGTTGCCCAGTATGAAACCATGTGTGAGTAAAATCTTTCTTTCTCTCTCTCTCTCTCTCTCTCTCTCTCTCTCTCTCTCTCTCTCTCTCTCTCTCTCTCTCTCAGTGCCTTCTGGAAAGTAAACACGATTGGTTCTTGGAAACTCAAAATTTACTCTTTCTTTACAGTAGTTATTTGTTTTTATTTGACCATCATGGTAATTTAAATGTGTAGACAATTTTGAACCGCCTGTAGCTTCAAAAAGTAATGGAAACAACCATGCTGTGGGCCATTCTGCCTTGCAGAACAATCACTGGCATTTGATTTGCAATTTCACTTGGTCTTACTCAGTGTGACTATTTTGATTTTACAAAATGAGGAAAGTGAAGCTCAGGCTGAACAGATTACTTAGGGTCACAAAGCTAAACTACTGGAATCTGGGACTTTTTAAAAAATTTCATATCCTGTCTGCTCTACTACATGCTGCTTAAGGCACTTTTAAGTTGTGTTGTGAAAGTGAATTGGACAAATGAGGTTTCCTTCATCACCAGAGAACATAGCCTTCCACACTGTAGCCAGTTAGAAAGAGAGCATCTATGTGTGTGTGTTAATTAAAATGGCATACTCTGAAATACAAAGCAGCTCTCACTTGGGATGTAGTGGGACTTAGCAGCTGTTGGCAGTCAGCGGCAGACCTTACAATGGAAAGTGAAGAATACCGTGTCCAATTGAAAATACAAAGGAAAATTGAATATACAAGCTGTTCAGCCGGAACTTCTAGAAACATCTCAGTGAGCATAATCGACACACAAATCTATTGTTGGACCTCGGTGATAACCTTTGAACTTCGTCTTCATGATTCATAGTAGTTCTCAAATTATTATAAAAACTGCCAGTGGAAAATTTGAATAGAAATATGTAATGATTGGCTTACATTTTGTAAAACATACAGGCTACATATACGATGAAGTTGAATTTAAAATTCATACATTCAGAAGTAAAGGAAAGCCTGCAGAAAAGGAGAACATTTGGGGGCTACAAAATGACATGAAAAACAAATGACAGGATTCAGTCCCTGATGAGAAATTGAGAGAAAAGAAAGAGGAAGAGTCAAGGTTAACTGGCAGCAACGTCTGAAGAGTGGTACGACGTACAGCAGTGAATTTATGGAAAGGGGCTATGGGGAGAGAAGGAACATGTTTGTATTATTGTACTGTCTTCATGTAAGAATACTATTGCTTGAACAACTTCACTCAGCAAGTGAGAGCTGGGGATTTAAAGATGAGTAAGATTTGATTTCCTTCCTCAAAGCACTGAGAGTCTAATGATGGATTGGGTGTTGCTATTACAAAACCATGAAAAGAGTAAGTGGTGCCACACTCCTTGCTGTTTCCTGAAGCAGGTTTCTGCCTTAGGGCTTTGCACTTCTTCTGGAACACTTTTGCATTATCTGTTTGGGTCACTGGATCACCTCCTTTCAGGTCTTTGTTCAGGTGTTATCTTCTCAGTGAGGCCTTCTCTGGCTGCCCTGTTTAAAATCGCAGCCTGCTGTCCACCCCACTCTCTCTACCTCTGTCTTGCCCTTCCTAACCCTCCCTGCCCCCAGTTGTGCTTAATTTTTTCCCACAGTATTTATCACCATCTAAAATATAATATACTTTACATGTTCATTTGGTTTATTATCTCTCTCCCCACTTGAATTATAAGCTCTTTGAGACTAAGTATGGGAGGGGTTGTCTTTGTTACTCTTTACTGTCTACTTAGCGTCCAGAGTAGTACTTAGCTACCATTAAATAATTGTTTAGGTATTACATAATTATTGTATTTTATTGAATGGGTGGATTCAGGAGGTGGATTAAGGAGTTGATGGCAAAATACTGTTGGAAGATTTAAACAAATTAGGTCAAAACTAAAATTGCTATTCCAAAATACATAGTCAATTAAAAACAATTCCATTTAGCAGGCAACCTCTTTCAGCAACTTGGGGCTACATGACTTCCAGTCTATTACAATAGAGTGGTATGGACTGTGTTGCTCAGGATCAGATATTTCACAGGATCAGTCCTGAGGCATTAATCTAGCACATGGATGCTCAAAAAATACTTTGTTAAATGAAGGGGTGAGTTTGAAGACTGGAGAATATCTGCTGTTAATCATCTTTGTGATTGATCGTATATCAATGCTACTCAAAGTAAAGCCTGGTCCACAAATCTTTCTAGTCTGTAAACTGTTATTGGTCTGCAACGAGATAAATAAAGGAACTTGATATTTAGAAACTTTATAGCAATTTGACTCCATCACAATAGTTTTTATTGTATTTTATAAAAGTATTAGCCTGAGACAAAATGGGGGGAAAAACCTAGTCCTTCACTACAGAGTTTGAGAAGCACTAATTTCTGTCATGAATTGTGAGATTTCAGTCAGTCATTTGTTTATGTATTTAAAGTATATTTAAAATCTCCTCCTGAGAATACTTCTGTTTTACCTGTAGGTACCCTTGTAAGGTGAGATTATTCTCTAGAAAAGAATATGTGATAAGGTTCCTCACATTAACTAAAAGAATGTCAACTCTTTTACCTGCTCATCCAAAGTGCATGGATTTTCCTTCAGAAGACAAAATCACATTTGTGGATTTAGAAAATTAATATTTTTATCTAGGTTTCAAAAAGTTTTTTAAAATAACTTTTTGAGGTCTAAAAATATATACCATGACATTCACCCATTTTACATGTACAATTCAGTGAATTTTTTGTAAATTTACCAAGTTGTGCAGCCATCTGTACAATCAAATTTTAGAACATGTCCATCACCCCAAAAGATCCCTTGTGCCCATTTGCAGTCACTCTGTGTTCCCACTCTGGCCCCAGTCAACTACTCTAATCTATACTCTTGTCTAAAGGTTTTGTCTTTTCTGGAAATTTCATGTCAATTGAGTCATATAATATGTGATCTTTTGCTTGTGGCTTCTTTCATTCAGCATAATGTGTTGGAGGTTCATCCATGTTGTGGCATGCATCAATACTTAGTCCTTTTTGTTGCTGAATAACATCATGTTGTGTGGATATAACCACATTTTGAGTATCCATTCACTGGTGGAGGGACGTTTGAGTTGTTTCTACTTTGTGACTGTTCCCAGTAATGCTACTGTGAACACTCACACGTAGTCTTTGTATCTACATATATTTTCATTCTTCTTGGGTAGATATCTAGGAGTGCAATTCCTGGCAAATATGGTAAATTTGGTAAATTTGTGTATAATTTTTGAAAGAACCTGCCAAAGGATAGAAACCTTTAATAGAATAAAGGCCATCAAGTGTAATGAGCTTTACACTTGATCTTTAAAGACTTGATGGCATAGAATTCTCATCTTAAGACTTTTTGGGAAACTTGGTGAACTTGCAGTTGGCTTGGTAGGAAATATAGCACTTGCTACCCTTTGTATCCTTGCTTCCATTTCCTACCCAGAATAGTATAGTATGCTTGGAAATAACGGTTTCAGATTCCTTTGCCAGTTACCAAATGTTTTACCAAAGTGTCCTTTTAATTCTTTGGTGGTTTTTTCCAGAGCAAATTTTTGAATAGTTGAGATAAGTATCACATAATATAAAATTTACCATTATACAGTTATCTGATTTGTTGATTTTTAGTATATTCGCAATGTTATACAACCACACCCCTGCCACTATCTAATCCCAAAACATTCTGATATCACCACAGAAGAAACCCCATACCTGGTATCAGTCACTCCCAATTTTCTCCTTCCCTCAGTCCCTGGCAGCCACCACTCTGCTTTCTGTCTCTATGGATTTACCTATTCTAGACATTTTATGTAAATGGAATCCTACAATATGTGATCTTTTGCATCTGGCTGCTTTTATTTAGCATAATATTTTTGAGGTTCATCCATGTTGTAGTATGTACCAGTACTTCATTCCTCTTTATGGCCAAATAATATTCTATTGAATGGATATACCACTTCTGTTTATCCTTTCATTAGTTGATGGATGTTTTGGGTGTTTCCACTTTTTGACTATTATGTATGATGCTGCTGCTGTAAACATTTGTGTGAACATGTTAGCAGTTCTCTTGGGAATTTGCCTAGGATTTTTTTTTTTTTAACACTGACAGCTGGGCTGTCTATTGGGGCTTGACCCTGTGACTACCGACATGGTATCATGCCAACTGGGTGGTTGGTCACTGGCTTACATAGGATTTTGAAATTGCTGGGTTATAGGGTAACTCCATGCCTAGCTTTTTGAGGAATTGCCAAACTGTTTTCCACAGTTACTACACCATTTTACAATCCTACTAACAATGTATCAGGGTTCCACTTTTTCCACATCCTTGCCAACACCCGTTATTTCTATTTCTGTTTATTTCTTTTTAAAGATTATTCCAATCCTAGTGTGTGTGAAGTTGTATCTCATTGTGGTTTTGATTTGTATTTCCCTAAATGATTGATATGATATTCACATGCTTATTGGCCATTTTAATATCTTCTGTGGAGAAATATCTATTCAGATTCTTTGCCCATTTTTAAATTGAGTTGTCGTCTTATTGTTCAGTTATAAGAGTCAATCCTTTGGGTTTTTACTGTCTCACAAATAGCTTTGGATCCTTACTGTTGAGCTTGGGCTAGTAACAGATCTGTCCTTGATGACTCATCCAAGGCCTAACTTGTTCTTTTAAGTAGAATGATAATTGGGCAAACAATTATTTCATTGTCTCATTGTACAGAATTTTCTTTATTTTCCATGAAAAATATTTTCAGAAGTATAATTTGATCGAGTATTACCACTTTGTTGTGGCGGCAATTTGGACTAATCTTATCAGCAAGTTAATGATAAAGTGTCTCTGGTACTATTACTGTTGCTCACTGGAAGTGTTTAAGCAGAATCCGGACAACTACTTACTGGCTTGTTAGAGAAGAAATTCCTGCATACTAAAGAAAGTTGGATTAGATGCCATTTGAGATTCTTTCCAGCTCTTAAGATTCTGTTTTCACTGCCTAGAGCTGAAATTTGTCCAGTGAAATGGCATGAAAAGTATTGTATTTTATTTTCATTGTTGTTCTATAAAGTGTTTGCTTCTAAATATAATGTAGATTTATACTTTGAAAACACAACAAAGTATTCTTGTTCTTCACTGTGTTTTAAAAGATTTAAATTGTTTCTCCTTGTTGCATTTGAGACAGTTTGTTTTTCTTCAATTCTAAATAATGTGTTTTCTTCTTACAGATTAGCAAGACATCTACAAAAAGAGGCCCAAGCTCAACACAATAATTCTGAATTCACAGAAGAACAAAAGGTACAATAAAATAACCTCTAGATATATCGAATTCCAAATGAGAAGGACTCTGTTTTGAGTCTCTTGAGTAAAACAGACAACAAAAACTTAAATGCATAAGTGCAAAGGAATGATACTGATTATGTTTTGCCCAACATTAGGTGATCACTAGAGATACTATATGACTTACCACTTAATGAATTTCTTTGCTCAGCCATTTAGACTTTAATCTTAGTGTAGACCTTCCATTGTTTTCCACAGTTACTACACCATTTTACAATCCTACTAACAATGTATCAGGGTTCCACTTTTTCCACATCCTTGCCAACACCCGTTATTTCTATTTCTGTTTATTTCTTTTTAAAGATTATTCCAATCCTAGTGTGTGTGAAGTTGTATCTCATTGTGGTTTTGATTTGTATTTCCCTAAATGATTGATATGATATTCACATGCTTATTGGCCATTTTAATATCTTCTGTGGAGAAATATCTATTCAGATTCTTTGCCCATTTTTAAATTGAGTTGTCGTCTTATTGTTCAGTTATAAGAGTCAATCCTTTGGGTTTTTACTGTCTCACAAATAGCTTTGGATCCTTACTGTTGAGCTTGGGCTAGTAACAGATCTGTCCTTGATGACTCATCCAAGGCCTAACTTGTTCTTTTAAGTAGAATGATAATTGGGCAAACAATTATTTCATTGTCTCATTGTACAGAATTTTCTTTATTTTCCATGAAAAATATTTTCAGAAGTATAATTTGATCGAGTATTACCACTTTGTTGTGGCGGCAATTTGGACTAATCTTATCAGCAAGTTAATGATAAAGTGTCTCTGGTACTATTACTGTTGCTCACTGGAAGTGTTTAAGCAGAATCCGGACAACTACTTACTGGCTTGTTAGAGAAGAAATTCCTGCATACTAAAGAAAGTTGGATTAGATGCCATTTGAGATTCTTTCCAGCTCTTAAGATTCTGTTTTCACTGCCTAGAGCTGAAATTTGTCCAGTGAAATGGCATGAAAAGTATTGTATTTTATTTTCATTGTTGTTCTATAAAGTGTTTGCTTCTAAATATAATGTAGATTTATACTTTGAAAACACAACAAAGTATTCTTGTTCTTCACTGTGTTTTAAAAGATTTAAATTGTTTCTCCTTGTTGCATTTGAGACAGTTTGTTTTTCTTCAATTCTAAATAATGTGTTTTCTTCTTACAGATTAGCAAGACATCTACAAAAAGAGGCCCAAGCTCAACACAATAATTCTGAATTCACAGAAGAACAAAAGGTACAATAAAATAACCTCTAGATATATCGAATTCCAAATGAGAAGGACTCTGTTTTGAGTCTCTTGAGTAAAACAGACAACAAAAACTTAAATGCATAAGTGCAAAGGAATGATACTGATTATGTTTTGCCCAACATTAGGTGATCACTAGAGATACTATATGACTTACCACTTAATGAATTTCTTTGCTCAGCCATTTAGACTTTAATCTTAGTGTAGACCTTCCACACTTTGGTTGGGGAGAGCAGGACTCCAGAGACTGGAGTTTGATTGTGAGTAATTGATTCCTGCCCCAATTATTTGACCCTGAAATTTCTCAAAACAAAAAACAGAAATAACAACAAAACCCCAAAAAAGCTACCCTTGGCTTTTAATTAGTTCAAGTCAAGAATTTGGCATAAGAATCAGCAAAATAAATGCATAAGATTGCAAAATGTGTCAGTGGTGTTCTTTCTCCTTGAATTAAAATTTTAAAGTGTCAAGTTAATTCCCTGTACAGTTAGAGATTATACGAATGGGATATTTTAAGAAGCTTTACTTTAAAAGAGTGAGAAGAAATGAGAAAAAACAATTCCCATTTTTTCCTGGCTCAAAGTACCTAGTGTTAAGTCAAATTTTAATCTTGTAGATAATGAAAAAATTTACTGTGTCAGTTTTTCCCTCATCTCTTAAGAAAAGACATCATGAAAACTATAGTGACTTCACTTGCTTTCATTAATTCTTTTTTTGTACAAAGGGTAGGAGTGGAAGTGACTATTTTGTACGTGTTTTAAATAAGCTTTAAACAAATACTATTTTAGTCCTTAGGCCTTGTATTCATTTGATTCTTTTTTATAGGAGTTTGGAGAGAAAAAAAAAATTCCCAAAGATCAGGATTAGCCATATTTTTTTGTACAAGTTAGTATGTTTGCATCTAAAAATAGTTGGGAATGTACGTTTTTTTGTATTTAAAAAAGAAAAAAAAGTTACTACAATTTAATAGTGTTTTTTTCTTTTTTCCTTGATAGTTGCTAATATCCACAATAGTTATAGGAAATTTAGGATTAAAGCCCTGGAAAATACTTACCACGTAGGACATGATTGGTTTGCTTAAGAAAAGAATAAAAACTGTATACTTTATCACATCTATAAGATTTGTGAAATCTATTTACGAATTGATTAGGAAATGACCAGTTGACATCACAGAATTGAGAGTTAAAATGTCTAAATTTTGAAACAGAATCTTATATATCTGAGTATGTTCATTAATAGCTAACAAAGTGTGTTATGAATATGGAAACAAAATGAAATTTTAGAAAATTAAAAAGTTTAATGACCCCCATGTTTTAATCATGTTTGCCTTGAGTTACTTACATGTTTTGTCTCCAACCTTCCATGTTTTGTCTGTTGCTTAGGTATGGGACCTCTAAGCCACATGACTTCAAATACAAAGTGATTTGACTTAAAACATACATTTTTTTTTAAATGCCATCCAGAAAGGAACTTTATCATATGGTGATGATAAGAGTAATGAGAAAAAAATAACATTTTCTTCAAGTTTCTAAGGCTGAAGCTGGTGTTTGATAATGCTATTTATTAATTTTTTAAATTTATAGCTGTTCCTTAGTGGCCACCTGGCTGCTGTCTCTTCTCAGCTTACATAGATCCACAGATCTTATGCTCCATAAGGCCCAGGAGGCGGCAGGACCTAGAGGAAAGAGCCTGAAATGTGGAGTCAGAAGACTTGATTTTGAATCCTGGCTCTTGTCTCTGGGCCTTAATTTCCTTAAGTATGAAATGGGGGATCAGATAGCCCTGAATGATCTTAAAAGGTATCCCTGTATCTTGTGATGACCCCCACCTTTGAAGTATTCTGTACCTCCTCCTTTCCTGGAAGCCTGATTTCTGAGGTATTTATTATTTATAATACCTGCCTAGGAGGCATTTGTGGCTGCCAGTTGTGACTACAGAGAGAGCTTGTGCCTGCCTGCCTATTCCTTGGGGCTTGGAGAAGGACCCCCCAAATCACTCTGTACTACATTAGGAATATAAGGCAAGTTGTATGCATTTACAAATGTAATTTTCTTTGAAAATACAGGTGAAACATTCACAATGGGCCGAAAAACTCATACTGACATATAGGCCTTATTTGAATGTCACATAAGGAAAAAGTTAGAGGACCCAAGTTAATAAATGATTAGAAAACAAAGATTTCCCAGAGGTGATCTGGGGAACGTCGACTCTGAAAAATTAATAGATGTTATTTGAAAAGGGAGCATTTATGACTTGTTAGGGTTTTTAACATGCTAATACGTATGTTGAATTTTTAAAGAATTTGGGTAATAGAGTGTTTCCAAAGTTGTTTGCTTTCAGAAGTCCCCTCTTCCCTTTTTACAACATTTCATTGGGTCTAGTGTTCTGAGAAACATGTTATGGGAAATTTTGAAACCAACTGTTAGGTCTGCAAAATTAATTGAATAGCAGACCTGGCACATAAGCCAAAGGAGAAAAAATGCAATTATATTTTCCTCAAAAGAGGAAAATGGAGACTATTTCTTACATTATTCTAAGCAAATTGTTCCTTTTGTTTTCTGTTTTGAACTATATTCTTTATGCTTTTACTGTTTTCAATGTTTTTATAACTATGACAAGTTACAACCATGACTTATTCATAGATGATTATTATTTTAAGATAAGAGAAATCCTAGTTTTTGAGACAGTAACATGTAAATCTTTCACTTCTTATTTTAAATCTAAAGAACCCTCAAGTAGAACTGCTGATCTCTCAACTTTATTAATTGGTGATAAAATCTTCATATGGCTTTTCTAGTTATATTATTTTCAAAGCTATCTGGTAGAAAATAAGAAAGTTTATGACTCTTATTTGATCCTCCCTCATGATTAATTGACTTAGCTTTCATTTCAGTTCTCAATAGTTTTGTCATTATGACAACTGCGTTTAGTAGCCAAAGAATAGCTGCCAAAAGCTTTCATTCCATTAAATTCCCTACTTTGGTGTAGTAGATTTTCTCATGTAAGTTTCTGGACAGAGTAGAACATCCTGTCTCATGATGCTTAGAAAGTTTTTCCCTGTTTTGAGTCAAATTTGGTGGTAATGAGAATTCCAGCACTCTATGCTAGCCTTATATTTTATAGGTACCCCCTTTCCACCACCTCCCCCTGTCTTCCTCCCTTCCATGCCTCCCCACAGCTAAAGAGTAGATGACTGGCTGTTCAAATCTAAAAAATTAAGTCTGGATTGTGACTATACTACTTTAACTATGTGTATTTTTTAACCTTGTTTTTCCTTATATAAATTGAATATGCT